TCAAGCTCGACGATCTTAGCCACAAGTTTAGCATTTTCTTCTCTAAGTAAATTTCAGTGAAAAAAATAAACTTATAAGATAATTCAGTACTAAAGTATGTGATAATTCTCCTAGGCGGATATCGGAGATATAATAGGACTCATCATTGGTGAGACCTTCCTTTCATATCTTCCATCACGATAATAATAGCCTCTATCATGACCACTATATTCATCATATCCACTGTATCTATTATATCTATTATCGTCTGATTCATCCCTTCGGTGCATCTCTTCTTCAGAATCATTGTCGTGACTACAGTCATTATCATCATTCGTTTCTTCCACTGGATGGGATGCGGAATTATGATCGACTTCCTCATCAAAATATACATTATCGTCTGACTGGACCCTGGGGACTCTCTTAACTTTGTTCACCTCTTCTTTCTCTAATCTTAGCCTCATTCTCGTATGATGTACTCCCATAAAGAGTCTTATTATCAATACCCTCAGTGAGCATTTTTATATATTCCTCTTCATTGGCTGATAAGGATGAATTGGCTATGGTTTCAGAGATTTTGGTCACATGATTTGGACGACCTGAAGTCGGCAAAAATTCTGGCTCAGTAAAAGAATTAGAATTATTAGAAAAGTGATCTATAACCTTTTGGAGATCTGTATTAGTAATTTTTGAGATAGAATTTGCGCTATAAGTTTTGATATACCGGATCTTATCTATACCTATTTTTTTGAATAAATCAAAGATTTTTATAGCTCTCTGAGTTTGCTTACATAAACAGGAAGTTGTTGGACAATAAAATCGTAAATCTGCCTTTTGCCTTTTTCTTACTAACTCTATCGCTGGCTATGATATCTTTAACTATAATTAAAAATTCTTTAGCATACAAGTACCAGCTTAATATCTCCTCTTGATTAGCTTTCATTGCAAGACCTTCTGCATCGCTGGCTCTTTGATATAAGCAAATGATATTTTTCTTACCTGAGATAAGCGAAATTTCTGGAGGGTTGGGAGACAATGCGCATATGGAATCATTCTCCTGAATAGATAAAGGAGTAGCGGATTTAGCTAAGTTATGAGAAATTTCTTGAATTAATGCCTGCCCATTTTTTGTACTCATGAGCTTTTCAGAAGAAGAGATACTAGAGGTAGTA